ACGTGCTGCCTGCGCCGGCCAATGTGATGTCGCTAGACGCGCTGCTGAGACTGTCACCGCGCTTCGAGTGGCGTCGTCTGCTCGACTCGCTGTTCGGTAAGAACGTCGTGGCCAACTCGTCCAGCGTCCAGGTGCCCAGTAAGGAGTACATGACCAACCTGAACGCCATCGTGGAGCGCAGTAACGCCTCGCTGTTAAACGACTACATCCAGTGGAACCTGATGCGGCAGTACCTGCCGGCCGCCGGGCCCATCTACGCCGTGCTGGCGCAGGAGATGGACACCGTCACGCGCCGTCTGGCCACCCGACCGCGCCAGGCCATCTGCTTCGACCTGCTGCGCCGCTACTTCCCCCGCGCCCTGCGAGCGCTCTTCATCGCCGACCACATCGGCGAGTCGAACGTGGCGGCCGCGCGCCGCATGGTGGGCCGCGTGCGCGACCAGCTGGGCCGCAGTTTCGACTGGATGACGCCTGACTCGCGCACCCAGTCGCAGACGGTGCTCGGCAGCATGGGCGTCTCGTACGGCCACGCGCCGTGGGTGACCGACGAGCGGCGGCTCAACAACTACTACGCCGGCCTGACGCTCACCGGACGGGACTTTTTCACCAACCTGCTTAACGCCGACCGCTTCAAGGCCGGCGAACTCAAGGCCAACGCCGCCCGACTCGCCAGCAGCGGCAACAACCACGCCGACGACGACGACGACGGTGACGACGAGGATGCCATCTGGGTGGACGGCGACGCGACGACGGACGTCAAGGTGGCCTACAACCCGGTGCGGGACCGACTGCGCGTGCCGCCGGGCGGCCTGCAAGTGCCGCTGTTCAGCCACCACAGCCCCGACTACGTGAACGCGGCCACATTCGGCTCCCTGGTGCTGGCGGAGCTGGCTGGGCCGTTCTTCCTGCGCCACAGGACCTACAGGTCAGACCGCGGGCGCCCGGGATTGAGGCTGGGTGCCGGGCCTCGGCGGAGGGCGGTGGGGCGCTCGGCTCGGGACCGGGGTTTCGGGAAACTCGTACTCAGACGGTGGGGTCCCGTCTCGGGGTATCGGTCGGCCCATAGGGTGCTAACTGCTGAGGCGGGCTGTTTCGTGTTTGGCCTGGCGCGCCCATGGCAGTCCGAACCGTACACCGTGCCCTGTCAGCTGTTGAGATCGGTAACGTTCAACTTGTTTTGACACCACGGCTGGATCCGATACGGTACGATCGGCCATTGTCAGGGGAGGAATGGCTGGTAGATCGATATCTATCACCACAATGAGCTCCATATGAAGGGATACATATGACGGCACCCCATCGGAATGTGAAAACTAACGCCCACACGATATGATCAACTGCGCGCAGACACCGGAGTGTCATGCATTAGTGAGGGGAATGAACCCCGGCTCTTTCGACCTCACCACACCGCCATTGTGCACGAACAATTATTTGTGTCCCAGATGTAGATAAAAAGTACATTCACCTCCATAACCAAACATCCTAATGAGCTGGAATGCCGGTCACAGGCCCGCCGTCTGTCGGGCCGTGTGATGTTTTCATCCACCTACCAGTCGCCACTTATGGGAAGCAGCTCGACTCGCTCGCCTTGATATCGGACTCGCTGAAAAACTACAATCATTGACATCTCATGTGCTGGCATAGGTATGTTTATTTATTACGAAATGCGGTATCCCTTGCGCGGCAACGCTGCCAGCAAGGAAAAACAAAGTGGTTGCGAGTGGCACAATGGCGTACCCCTTTACGGTATGCAGTGCTTTGCTTCTACTGGGTCTCGCTGATAAGTTACGGCGTACCGAACTGGGCACTGGCTACTTTATGTTAAGTTTCCTACCGGAAGAGAACTGCCCGACAATTGTCGTCCTTGTCTCTCGGATGCACCGGTACCCTGCTTAGTAATTAATTTCATAAACACCTTTTTGTCGACTGTGTTAGTAGTTTCAGGTCCACCGGCAGCTTTTTGTCCGCCGTTGTGAGGACGGGCGTCCACTGACCCTGCTGTATCTGTGTGTCTCCCTCTGTGCCAGACTGCCGAGCTGGTGGGACTCCGAGACGACGGCGCGCTACCGGCAGTACGGCCTCTGCCTGATGGACAGCCTCGGCGGCTACACGGTCGACGTGCAGCGCAGCTTCGAGTTCACATCGGTCCGCGGCTCCGGAACGCACCGAAAGTGAGTTCAGCGCGGTCCAAAGTGAGATCACATTGGTCTTACATAAGTGAGTCCACCCCAGTCTAAAGTGAGTTCAGCTCGGTCCAAAGTCACTTTGGACCGAGCTTTGAGAGCTTTGAGACCAATGTGATCTCACTGTGAGATCACATTGGTCTTACATAAGTGAGTCCACCCCGGTCTAAAGTGAGTACAGCTCAATCCGCGGCACCCAAAGTGAGTCGCTCAGGCGCCGTCCTGCCGGGCGGGCGGACTGGGCCTCCCCCCTCTACACCCAGGGGGGGGGGGACGGTGGCCAGCAGCCGGGGAACAGGGGGAAAATACCGGCTACTGGAACCATGGCGTGTCTAGCTGAATGGACCGGCCAGTCAAACCCGCCCAGAACCGGCGTTTGCGTGGATGATTTTTAAGTGGGAGGGACTTGTGTCAGTACGGTGTTCAAAAATGGAACAACTCATTTCGTTGCTGCACGCTCTTGATTCTGGGTACTGCATGACGGTTGGGAGTCGGACTGCTTAGCTCTTTCAGTTGAGCTCGGTTTATCGCTGTTTTTGATGATTCTTCGTGCCCGTTTCTATTCGCTGACATTTCGAGCCTTGGCCTTGATTTTAGATGTCGCGTGACTTGTTTCTCGTTTGTCGTCACCCGTTACACGCGATGCATTGAACCTAAATCACGTTTGATTTAGTATCTTCGTAGCATCGTCATTATGACGAACGTATACGTTCAAGCTTGCGTTCAAGCATGTCATCTACCTGCAGGAATAAGCAGACACCTTGCAAATGATCTAGTTATCTTTTTATCCCTTTGTTCGCGTGACACGCTGCTGTTGCCGACTGGTGCTGCAGATCCCGGGTGCCTCTCGACCCTCGGAAGTCGGCCAACTATCTCCAGGCGGAGCACTTGGCCTTCATCCTGTCATACGATCTATTCAAGCACATACAGAAGGAGGACGGGCCGCAGCGCGTCCTGCCTGGCACGGAGGTCAGTAAAGGCGCCATGTCAACCGTGCAGCTAATGAACAGTTAATACGAGTGGACACAAATGCGGTATATAGGGCCTTGATGCGGTGAGAGCTGCAATGTTGTTTGTTTCATCCCCGTATAACGTGGTATTTCGCAAATTGTGAGCACTGAGGAAGGCATAGAATTGACGTATTTGCGACTTCAAACACGCGTCTTAGCGGTTGCGAGTTATCCCGTTTATGTTTCATGCTGAACGTTTTCGGTAGTTTGTCAATTATCATTCACTTAGCGCCCTAGCCAGTGACAATTATCTGAGGGTCATTTATCGCTCGCTATGTCGCCGCCTTGTCCAAGGTCCTTTGTCGACTTCTGTCGACCAGTGACGCTGATGTGCCACCCCCTGCCCGCCGCAGGGCCAGACGCCGGAGCAGCTGTTCTTCCTGACGTACGCACAGAGCCGCTGCCGCAACACGAACCCCTACCTGCGCGTGCTGCTCAACAGCGCCTTCAAGGAGTTCCCGCATCCGGAGATGATCAACAACTTCGTGTACAACTTCCCCGCGTTCCGCGAGGCGTACCAGTGCCAAAGGATCCCCGAGCCGCACCAGGGCCGCCACTGCACGCTGAGCTGAGCTGAGCTGAGCTGAACTGAGCTGACGGCGAGCTGGTGCCGATGTTAGACACGAGGGACAGTGTGGGGACTCAGTCGAAGACGGGTTGTCTTCTGAGAAAGACGAGAACATGACTTTGGCAGCTCTTCAGCAACGCTGCGTAAAAGCTAAATACATAGGTGGATTATAGGTGTGAAAGTGTTACACCGTCTTGAAAGGCATGCTAGTTTTCCCGGTAAATTGTGTGATATTTTGAAACAGATGCCCCACATACTGAGTTCGTGACTACCGAGTGCTATTTTTCTTTTCTTTATAAATGTATTGTGGCCAATTCCTTCTATATAGAAGGTAGACTGCCTTGACCAGTCACCGTAAATTATTTTAACAGTTATCGAATTTTGCGAATTATGCTACAAGCTTACAGTCGGAAATTGCGAGATATGGGTCCTGCATATGTATATTGATACCGTTATTGCATGCCTTGCTCTGGGTGATGGTGGATGAAGTGTTATTTCGCTTTTAAATGTGTTTTGTTTCGATTCACACTTTAATTGAATCGAACGGCCGTTAATTGTGGTGTGAAAGTGTCAGCTAAGTAGCTATAGATCGTCTTTCAACCGTGCAGAGGTTGTAATAACGCTGGAAACACAATCTCCAAGCAATAATGCAACGTTTTTTACAGTCATTGTCATGTTTGTTTCCGTTGTCAGAGAAAATACAAATAGATTAGCATAAAGAATAAATTTTGGCTGAGAGCCTATCCGTATCGAAACTACCTTTTCCAAACCATGGCCAGAATGACAAAAAGATAACTTATTCCAGATAATTATCGAACCGGGGTGAGCCTAGCGCCCTTATTGACCTTACGGCAGGTGGTTAATCTGCTTCATCCCATCCGCCGACTGCACTGTCCGTTTCGACTGCCCACGCCCGATCCCAGTTTTCAGTGTCATGTCCCCCAGTTTCCCATTTCCCGGCCACCGTCCGGGCATTCCAGTGTCGCCGACTGTCCTGCACACATACCTCGGAGCGTGTGTGGGTTTAAACACACCTTCCTTCCCGGCCCGGCCGGTTTCCCGGTCACCCGCGACAGCTGCTGACCAGCTATCCTGCAGCGCGGCAGGGAGGAATGGTCAGTCGGCCGGAAAACCTCCAGCACCCGGCCGTGCGCCGACAGCGCCGCGTCCGCCCGATTTCCGCCCCGTGACGTCACCGGTGGCAGACGTGTGACGTCATCTGAGGAAGACGCAGCAGGACACCCTTTCGTGTTGTATTGGCACTCGTCACACAGGCGACACAGACACTCATCGCTGGTCCCATGGCAGGGCCGGCCGCGCCGCCCGAACAAAACCGTGACGAAACGGAGGCAGCGGCGGCGGCGGCGGCGGCGGCGGCAACGCCCACTAAAACTAACGTAAGTACAACGCACGGTACTCTCGGCACGCGCCGCCCCGACAGAGGGGGCGGCGCTACACTCGGAGCTCCGGTAGATAACTTAGAACTGCGTGAACGCCGGTGCGACGGCGCCACGGAACGAGACCAGCCGGGGCAGGAGGCGGCCGGTTCGCGTGCACTACCCACCCGCCGCCGCCCTGGCTCGGGCGACGGCGCCGCCTCCTGCCCGTAAAAACTAAATAAATAGGCCGGGCGGGGGCTACGGCACGCCGGCGTCGACTCAGACTCCGGCCGCCGCGGCGAACCCGCCGGCTGATACAAGAACCGCCCGGCGATAATGACCTTGTCATAGACTACCATACGGCCTGACGGACTGCGTGGTCACCACTACCCAGCGCCCTGCCTGCCGAGCTGGGTCGCAGGTCGGCGGCGCGCGATCCTCTCACTCGGTGGACTCGCTTGAACTAGACCAGAAGCTCGTGCCAGTCAACTGAACGCCTCTTTGGAATGAACTCAACGTTTGTACTTAATTATGTATAGATACAGCGAGTGAGAACTCGAGAGGACAGGCGGCGCTACCGGCGGCGGCGGCTAGGCGGTCGGTGCGTTAGAGGTCGGGCACCGTCTTGAAGCACGGGTAGTCGAGCAGGGCTCGCGTGGCCGGCCGTTTTTCGCCGTCCATCCGGTGGCAGTCGGAGACGAGCTCGCGCAGATCGTCCGGCAGCCGGGCCGGAACCTCCGGCGGCTTCGGACTGTTCGCGATCTGAGGGAAGAGAAGGATGCGTCAGTTAGGCAAACTGAGAAACACTGGCCTTGTTCGCAAAACCATACAGCCATACTTACACCGTGGTCTTTATTGAACAAAAAGCTAGCGGTAATGTAGCAGCACCGTTTTCAACCGGTACAAGGTGGACAATAAAACTAGAGTAAAAAGTCGCTTTCATATGTTAAACACAAGTCACCAAAGCCCAGCACCTCCCCTCATCCACAAAACCCGTTCAACTCCCATCTCAACCACTGACCATAAAGAGCAGCGCGAAGTGGTTGCTGCACGTGTGCGCGTCCCAGGGCGGCCGGCCGGTGGCCATTTCTATGACACAGCAGCCCACGCTCCAGACGTCGCACGAGCGGCCGTAGTGCTGTCCGCGCAGCACCTCGGGCGCCATAAAGGCCACCGTGCCGCGCAGCTGGCCCGAAAACTCGCCCTTCAGGGTAGCCGTGGCGCCCAGCTCGGCGGCCGTGCCTAGGTCGCCGATCCGCAGCGTCACACCGCTCGAGTCCACCAGCAGGTTCGCTCCTGGAGGGGGAGGGGAGCAGAGGGTTGTTAGGGAGGGGTTATGGTAGGTGGCGGTGTGAACGGGTAGGTGCCGTGCTGCGTCAACTGAGCGAGGATAAGTTCCAAAATTTAGGGCGTTCGCATGTTTATAAAAGATCAATAAACAACCCCAAAGCAGCATCCACTCGATAGTTCCGATAATAAATTTATTAAAATTTCAAGAGATATGGGCTTCGCTGTTCGAAATCAGCTAACATGTTCAATGAGACGTAATCAATTCGCTGTTTCCCCAGTAACGGTGCGAACCTGAGAGGTCCCTCTGTTCCCTCAGTGACGTTTCATACCTTTGAAGTCCCTATTCTATCTGTCTCGGAACATACCTTTGAGGTCCCTGTGCAGGATGTGGTTGTCGTGCAGGTAGGCCAGCCCGTCCACCAGATGGCACGTGTAGCGGCGGATGACGTCGTCCTCGAACGGGCCGTACTGCTCGAGCAGGCCGGCCACCGACCCGCCGGCCTCCCACTCGGTGAACAGGCTGACCAGGCCGGGCCGCCGGGTGGCGCCCAGCAGGCGCAGCACGTGCGGGTGCTGCAGGCGCGCCAGCAGGCGCACCTCCTGCAGCAGCGTCTGCTCGTCGGCACTGCCCGCCTCTGTCGACAGCTGCACCTGCTTGACGGCCATCAGGTGGCCGGAGCGCAGGTCGCGCGCCTGGTAACAGGTGCTGAAGCTGCCCGTGCCGAGCAGCGGGCCGCGCCGCCAGTCCAGCTCCTCCGTGTAGGTGTCACATGTACCGCCCTCCATATTCTGCGGAACGAACGGGCAGTTAGTCAGTGTGAGGGTGGAGATAAAATGTGCTGGGCGGGACTCAGCCAGCGACAGCAGGGGCATTCCACGATAGATCGTACCAGGCCCGTCACCCTCATCTCTCAGATTTTAATGAAAATCCGTCCTAGGGGTAATCATAGGCCCCAAAGACGCCTGGCAAAATATCAGACTTCCCAGATCAAAACTTTTTGAGTTATATTTCATTACATTTTTTAACTTCGGTTTGTAACGGTGAGTTTGATGGCCTATAACTCAAGAACGGGTTAAGCTACCAACAAACAGTAAACAACACTAAGCTTGCGATGAATCAAAAATTAATATTACCATTTAAAAATTCCAAAGAAAAATTTTCATTGTTGAGCAAAAACCTTAATCTTTTTTCATTTGCCTCTAATGACCTTTGGGACCAAAATTTTTCAAATTTTTATTTTTTTCAAAATAAACTTCATGTCATTGCAAATTGACATGCAAAAAATTAGAAAGGTGTTCTTTCTATAAAATCCTCATTTTCCCGAAAACAAAATGGGTTTCGGAGGGGTTGATACGACCCCAGCACGCCGTTTCGCTTCTAATAGAGCTAGAGCCTCGCGGAAAAAACGAGCGTGTGTGCCATTACAAGTTGCAGCGATTGGTACCCGATTTTAAGGTCTCAATTTAACCGGTAGCGTCTGAGGTCAGGTCAAGTGACTGAAGTTACGGGTTCGGTTTTTAGTAAATAACTTCGCAAAAAATGGCCGCAGAGCCGCGATTTGGGCATCATTGTGTTCGCCTAGCTCAGGTGTATCGGATGGTATACTTTTTGCTAGGGTGAGGTCAACTTTAGTAGTTGACCTCGGATCAAGGTCAGGTCAAAGCCCCTCAGGTCACGAAGCTGGGCAAAGGGTATCATATGGCATATCATTCGATTCGGAAGGTCTTCCCGAGTCCATTGGTGGCTTTCCCGACTCTCTAGCTCCATTTGATCGGGAGTTATTGACGAAAAACTCGTACGACCCTAGTGACGTCATAAATAACGTCACGCAAGGTTACCAATGCAAAAGAAAAGCATTGGACTTTGCAAGAAGTGCATGAAATCACGATACCATGTACGTGGGATAGTTTTAGATCATTCTCGGCGCCAAAATAACAGTTTTTATATTTTCCCATTGATTTATAACAGTGATGTCACGTGACCGACCTGACATCATGTAACCTTGAAAAATTCCCAGATATACAAGTTGTGAGACCTCTGGAGGACACCATGTATGCGTCCTGTAACTTTCATCTCGGACAGCTATGGTCGTTGGCGTCCAAAACAATGTCAGAACCAAACAGCCTTTTTCACCCTCGCGCTTATAGGAAAGAGGGCTGGATGAACCCTCTTTTCACTTTTTCAGATGACTCAGATTTCAATTGAAATTTCAGTAACCCGTGATGTCACTAGGCAGCTTTACCACGCCATTTGTAAGCTCCCCTCCCGTAATCACTATTCGAAACCGTTATCGTGACGTGAAATAAATACATTTATAGAAAGAACACCTTCCTAATTTTTTGCATATTTGTTAACAATGAGCCAAATATTTTTTTAAAGAAATAAAAATTCAAAAAAAATGGTCCCAAAGTCCAAAAAATACAAATGAAAGAAAACTCGATATGTCATATATCAAAAATAGCGTATTTTTTGAAATATCAAAAATACATATTAATCTCTGTTTCATTGCAAGTTCAATGTTATATAACATTTGGCATTTGAATAATCCGTCTTAGAGTTACAGCCCGCCAAACTTAGCGCTGCAAAGCAAGATCCAAAAAATTTTATACACCATAACTAAAAAATTACTTCTCTGATATGCCTGAAATTGTTACAGGTGGATTCAGAGCCCCTGATTACCCCTGATACCAATTCTAATCAAATTCCGAGAGATGAGGGTGTCAAATTGGAAAAAAGTGGTACGATCTATCGTGGAATGCCCCAGCAGCCAGCTTTGATGTATGTCATCAATTAGAGATGTCAATCGGGTACCAACTTTTTGGTATACCGATACCAAACCGATACCAACTCGGTATTTGGTATTTCAATCCTAATGTGTTTGGTATTTTGTTGGTATCATAAACCCTCGCTAATGTTTAAGAGGCTAAGAAATCGGTAAAAAGTTGGTATTTTCCTCATGTTCCCAAGTTGGTTTGGTTTCGGTATTTCTCCACGGTTTTGGTTGGTATTTGGTTTGGTATCGGTATTCCGATTTTCCGTAATTGACATCACTATCATCAATACATCCCAGGATTGTTGATCTCCAATGCAAACTGAGCGTCCTCTATCTTACTTGTTTACACTTACAGACTTAGAAAATCGACAAACACTAAAATCACTGCTACCTGAGCGTACCAAGTCATAAAACAGCACCCATAGCTCCCTGTCCGGTACTGACTTGTGTCTGAGGGTGCACTACGATGTCCTTCACGGAGTTGGCGGCGGCGGTCAGGTAGCCCGGCACGGGCGGCTCCTCGCCCAGTTCCATAGCCGTCGGCAGGTACACGGGGTGGCCGCCGGGCGGCGCTGCCGACGCCGCGTGGCGCGGCCGCAGTGCGGCGCCCCGGTCGCCGGCGGCTGGCGGTCGCAGTGGCGAACACTTCCTCTTGAGCGCGGCGCCAGAGTCGAGTGGCAGGTAGGTGGGCCGGGGGCGCCGGCCGCCGGATGAGGAGGGCGCCGGCGGCTCCTCCGGCGGCGGCTGCCGCGGCGTGGCCGAGCCCGCCGCCGGCCGTCCGCGCCGCGCCGGCCGCGCGCCGCTCTCGCCTCGGATGCGGCGCGCCAGCCGAAGACGGACATCCGGGTCTAGCGCCGCCAGCAGGGCGTCGATGTGCTCGTGAGCGGCCGGCGAGGCGCGGGCGGCCAGCGCCATTTGGACAAACACCCGGTGCGCCAGCTGAGTGACTGTGGCGTGCGGGTGTGTGAGCGCGCGGTGGGCGAACTCTGCCAGCCGTACCACGCGGCCGGCGCTCTCGGGGTCCAGCGCGCTGAACCGCTCCCGGAACTGGTCCACCAGATGGTCGGCGACCAGCAGCCGGCCCAGACACCACTGCCACGAGTCGGCGCCGGAGCGGCACTCCTGCAGCAGCCGGTCCAGCACCAGCTGCAGGCCGTCCAGCTCGGCGGCTAGCAGCTGGCCGGCCGGGCCGCGCACCAGCTCGGCCAGCGTCCAGGCGCTCAGCTGGCCGGCGCGGCGGTTGGCGTCCGTCGAGCGGAGCAGCAGCGCGTCCACCAGCGGCGTCAGCGAGTTCCGCAGCTCGGCCGCCTCCTCTGGCGAACAGCACGTCACACTCCGCAGCAGCACGTGCAGACATTTCTGCCGAGAGACGGATGAAACCGGTCACATACGGTAGACTTGTATGAACAGGTGAGATTTGACGAGAAAACTGAACGCGAGGTCAAGCGGAGGTCAGTAAAAGTAGTTAAAAACACTGATCACTTCAAGAGAATCAAAATCCCACACAATACAAACTGTGGTAGCCATTGCATCAGAATCAGAAAAAGGAAAAGTGACGCAACGACGGTCTGGTTTATTTAGCCACCGACAAAGAAGGCTGATCTGTAAGCGCAGCCGCTAACAAGAAGTCCCTGAATCATGCAACCGTATCGTTGTTTAAACTCCGCACTTCCAATACCGTTCGGTTCTCTGAACCGCTCCTTTAAACCTCCGTCGGCCCGCCCTTCACTCACGATGGCTCCGTAGAAGACCTTGTAGACGGGGTCTGCGCAGAGCACAGCCAGCAGGTCGGCGACCTGGTGGACCAGATCGGCCGCCGACCGGCCGCCGGGGCTCTCGACCATGTGGCTCAACGCTTCAGCAAGTCGGCTTATCCCTGTGGACAGGCGATAAGAGGGTGGTGATGTAACTCGATTATGCGCCTCAGGTGAGTAGGTTGGGTGATGATATTTGACTTATCAAAAGGGGGTGGCAGATGATATAACTGAATTATTAGAACATCGAAATGATAGAGATGCTAAATACAACCCATGGCCATGCCCTTCAAATCGTGGCACTATCAGCCGACGATAACTAAACTATGTCTACGAAGCGAGGCTCGACTATCGGACACCCAAATAGCATTCAAGTGATCAAAAAGATAACTCAAATAACCCAGTCATGAGGAGGTTGAAGAGCGCGACAGTTAGCATCAGACTCTCTGTGCCAAGTATCATCCTGCCCAATCCCATCCCTCACCATTGTCTCTGATCTGCCAGTCCCTGCTGAAGACGAGGTGCACCAGGTCGCGGCCCAGCACTTGGCTCCAGGGCTGGCGGCGCTCGACGCTCTCCAGTCGCTCCAGGCGGACGGTGGCGCGCCGCAGCGAGCCGCGCCCGGCCGCGCGCCGCCCCAGCAGCGGGCTGCGGGCTGACTCTGGCTCCACGGAGCCGCGCCGGTGGGCACGGTCTCCTGCCGGCGAGCTGAGGCCGGCCAGCGCGGTACGCGCGCGCGGCACCAGCGGGGAGGCCGGCGGCGAGGCGGCGCCGGCCGTGTGTGTGGCGGGCAGCGAGGAGAGCAGCGCCGAGGTCGGTGTTGAGGCGTGAGAGTGCGGCTGGGGGTGGTGGCCGCCGACGCCGGGCGGCGCCGCGGCGCTCGGCGTGCTCGGGGTGTTGGCGGTGGACGAGGTGGGAGTCGGTGAGCTGAAGGACGGCGGGGACGCCGCGCTCGGCGTGCTCGGGGAGGAGGACGGTGTGCCGGAGCCGGGCGGCGACAGCGCCGCCGCTGCCGCCGCAGTGTCGGCCGCCGACGCGGCGCCCGACCACACGCCGCGCACCAGCGGCGTGAGCGGCCCGGGCCAGGCGGCGCGACAGAGAGGGCAGCAGGCGGCCTCCTGCCGGCCGGCCGCCTCCACCGTCCACACCGACATGCAGCGGTGGTGCAGGAAGCTGTGGCAGCCGTCCTCACAGCGCACCAGGCTCTGCTCGCCGGTCATCTGCAGCTGGCAGATCGGGCAGCGCCGCTCCTCGCTGCTGCTGAAACACGGAACACACCGTCAAAGCCCTGCACAGGGAACACGGTTACAGTTCTACACAGGGAAACACGGTCCGAGTTCAGCCGAGGGATTACAAGAGTTCCGCCTGATGGACACAGTCATAAGTTCGTCTAAGAAACATGGTCGGAGTTCCGTCCTCTCCACAGTATTTTATATAAGCATGGATTCAGCGTCAGAGATAAAGAAGTTACAGATGTTTACGCAGGGAGAAATCTCAGGATGCGGCCGACCAAGGAAGGGCACGCCTTCCCGTCCTCATGAGTAATTTGGCTGGAATGTCTGCAGGTCTGAGGCATAACACGTCCGATATGGGAGCTCAGACGGTGATTTACATTTTGCGGCCGGCTAAGCGCCGGCTTCGTGTGGTTTCGCCCCGCAAATGAGACGTTATTCTGTGTATAGCATCACTATGACGTCTTTGGTGAAATAACTAGATGCAATGTTTGGTCGGTATTACAATGAATTAAGATCCATATCGGAGAGTACGAGTAATCTTCAAGCAGCACCTGTAACCGCCAGCTTAGCATTCACGCTCCCACTTCATAAAGTCGCACACCTTTCTAATACGTGGAAAAGAAAAACACATCGCATCGCACATAGGTACCACAAATATCGCCTGTCCTTTAAAGTTTAATCCCCTTTTTGAAGCAAGCTCCCGTAAACTCAACGCCAGCACGCATTTCGTTTGGGGCAGCATCGCGACAGCGAGTCTACGGCTACAACGTTAGTGCGACACATTCCTCCAACGACTCTATCGCACTGTTTGTGGTGCACAGGTGGCTCTTTGTGCCATACCACCACGGCATTCCGTCGTACTTGAAGTGCGGCCTCGCCGCTATCGGAGCGAGCGTTCGCCGGCCGCCGACAGTTCGACACTATCGGCGTGCAATCTGTGATAGCAGCGTGCACCGGTGGTCCGTCGGCAGTCACAGACACCTGTCCCCTTCTCAACAGGGCGGCGACGGCCAATGTCACGCCGACAGCATCGCTCGAATTCCAGTCCGGCGTGGGTCGAAATATGTACATGAGAAAAACTGCAACATGGTGTCTACATTTCTTCGCTCTACGATGCCGTGACTACCCGCCATACCAAGGACAGGAGAGGATAGGCGGGCGGGCGGGCGTGCCGAGCACGCAGCTATCTGTTACCGCCCACGGTCTGCACGGGTCGATGACGTCACTGTCTCACCTGCACGGTTTGATGACGTCACTGGCTCACCTGGTCGAGTCGTTGGGGGTCGGCGTGTCGCCGCAGGGCAGTGTTGAAGCCCGCGATAGTCGACGGCGGCGGTATGTCTGTAGAAGCGCCTCCACCTGACAAAGTGCGCGGCGACATGTCACACGGGGAACTTTGTACCCACCGTCCGGGGCTCATCAGCACACCACAGCTGTGTAGCATGATGCAAATAGAGTGGCATGTTCAACATAACGATTAGTAGGGGCGGGAGCGCACCAAAATAACTCGAGCTGAATTCAAAGCGAGCCGAAACCACAACTCAGACCCATCAACCGAGCTATCTCGGGGGCCGAATGAGGCATACGGGCCGAAACGACCTTGCATGTCTGCACTCATCGGCATCCAAACCGAGATAGAGCGCCGGTTTCATTCGCTACATATCCCTCCGGCACTGCGCCGCGGCACTTCCACTAAATTTATCGCGAACTCTGGACTCTCCATTGCAAATGCGCGGCGTGTCGAGCCGTGGATGAGATGGAGCCGGGTGGGGCCAACAAAGACGGCCCGACCCCGGTATTCAGATCGCCCGGAGCAGGGGCGGTGAGAGGGTAGGATGAGCTCACCTCGTGTGTCTTGAGTGTGTGGCAGGTGATACGGTAGTCGGTGAGAGGTAGTCGTAGGACGCGCACCATCACAAATAGCAGGTGAACGCAGAGCGGGGACCGGCTACACGAGCAGCTCTGAAACACAGCGGAGAAACACGGTCAGTACACAGACGGGACAGGCGGGTGATGGGTTCGATCACAAGGGTTTGGAGAGGCATACACACGTAGCATAGCCAGTAAAAGGCAGCTGAGAAGATGAACAGATGACACCGCACAAGGCACCAGCAAACACCCGCCAAGAAATTAGCAATATGGTATGAAATTAGCCTCTCGAACGTCCATGCATGTCTAAGCTACCGGTAGAAGTGCGTAGAACGCTCTCGACTGCGTCAGCAGTGAACCGCTGAGCCCGGGGCGAGCCGGCCAACTCAAGGGCGGCAGGTAGGTGCCAGGGTCGCCGCGACCGCGTCGGCCCGGCTCGCGCCTCGGCCAACGTGATGGACTCTCATGGGGGGCCATCGGGTGCGAAGAAACGACTTGGGCGCCGCGGTCCCCAGCTCGTGCGGCGCTCTCCGGAATACAGAGCGGCTCCGTGACCCAGCCGCGCCATGAATGAGCCGTGGGCGGCGGCCGAGCTATATGCGGAGCGGTGCGGCGCCGATATAGCCGCGATCGGAGCATAAGGAGCCGCGAACGGACGTCACAGCACAGAGTGAGAGGGCTGATCGCCAGGAGAGAGTGTCCCACAGTCAGCGACGCGCTGAGCAGAGCCGACGAAGGGACGGGGCGCCATGGCAGCCATGTGCGGTGAATTAATGAGTCGGCATATCATTTGATTCTCGTCACGGTCGAGGAGGACGGCCGCAGCGCCGGTGAAGGGACGGAATTAAGCAGCTCGCTACTGGGTTACGGCGAACGGGGAGGGAAGGGGCGGGGACAGGGTGCACGGGAGTGGGACGGGACGGGACAGGACGGACGGCTGATCAGCACGCCATGCCCGCTCAGAGGCACGTCTGGGGGTCCAACGAGGCCGGTCCACACCCATCCCCGCCGGCCGATGGTCGGCTGACGCAACACTCCGTCCATGGGCGGCGACGGGCGCAGGACAGCCCAGGCGGGTCACATATCACAGGACCGGTGCAGGCGAGACACACCTATCAGCTCAGGACCGGGTCGCTCCGGCGCACTATGGTTGGAAACGGCCTCACGGATGGCCGGGGGTCAACGCGAAAAAATGTTTTGCCCATAACTTGTTAATGCGTAGACCGACTGCGATGAAACTTTGCATAGGTATACCAGTGTCTTTCGTGCATCATACAGTAACTCAGAAATGACGAGGTCACGTCACGTCACGCGTGTGTGACGTCATCATTGCAAGTATGTCATAAGTCGCCTATGTCTTTCGTTATGTTATCGATATCGTGAGGCATTTTGAACATGTTTTGAATACTGCTATTACTGAATGGATATTGTTGTTATGCTTTAGGGCGAGAAATATCAACGTAGTGACGCACAGTGTCTTACTATTGGTCATAAAGGGTCACAAATTTGGAGAAAGAGTATTTATGATTTTTTTTAGATTAGGCAAAAAAGTAAGAAATAAAATGACGATCAAATGACAAAACATGCGTCAGATTAACCCGGCAGTTGCTGGGGTATTTCCCCATCCGCCGTTTGCCGGGGGGGGGGGGCGTTCAACGCCCCCAGCCGATAACTCGCGAACAAATAGGCGCAGCGAAACGCACGAGGCGCGGCAAACGAAAGAAGAACGCGACGAGACGATTCACATGAATACTTTAAAGCTGAATTTCGAGGTCACAGGTCGGGTCAAGGTCAGGTCAAACACTTGAAATCGGGCTTTCAGTAGCATGGACTTTAGAACCTCGCAATCGGTGCCTCGCGTTTCGCGTTTCGATTATATCGTCATCAGTTGGTCCTAAATAAATTCAGTCATCAGTTGGTCCTAAACAATCTGTCACAACTGTCACAACTGTCACAACCCTTCATATAAGTGCTAAAAGAGTGTCAGATCAATGTAGGGGTCAGTCAAGCATAGGCCACTGGCCAGGGTCAAAGTCAGGTCAATCAGGTAAGCACATAACCCCGAAAATTAAAACTGGTACCTATCCGCAGCCCATGCATGACACATGTTTTATGGGTACTTTTGGGCGTAGAACACGATGGTGACATTCATTTTATCATACGAGTACGTGGCTGGTTGAAAAAAGATCAATTTCAGAAATGCATGCGTCATGGTCGTGAAGTAGTCACGAGAAATTGCCAACATTCAGTTCAAGATTTTGGAAACTGTAGAACGATGATCAAAAACCATAGATAGCCATTTGATTTGCCATGGTATTGGCAGTGTAATGGAGTTTACAGCATGTCTGTATGTCTGTTCTGTCAGTGGATATCCATATCCATACTCCAGGATATCCATACACGTTTGCACGATATTCATACTCCAGGTGCAGGGGCGAGCAGTTACTTCTTACGAGGGGTGCGGAGTCGAAGTCAGAGTCGGAGTCGGAGTCGGAGTCGGAGTCAGAGTCGCCCAGAGTCGTGGCAACGAGCCAGGAGTCGGAGTCGGAGTCGGGGTCGGTCAGGAGCCCGCAGTGGAAGTCGGAGTCGGTCCGAATCGGAACAGCTCCATCGCGACTCCGAAACACTGGCAGGGGTCCGGAGTCGGAGACAGAGTCGGCCGGAGTCATGGCAACGAGTCAGGAGTCGGAGTCGTAGTCGGAGTCGGATTTGGCGCCACCACGACTCCGCAACCCTGCTTCTTACCATCATTTATAAGGATAAGCGATTGCAAGACTGACGAGCCGACCTGGTGCTAACGAAGCGACGGGTAGGTACGCCTCGGGAGATGACGCTTCACGGACGATTTTGCGCACAAGTGCGCAGTCTGCTTTTACGTTCCCCTTACGCAGAATTGAACAGCGATTTATTCTGCCAAAAAGCTCAATGGAGGTCGATGGAGAACTTTTTGTATGTCCAATGAAACATAAACGCAATTTTGCAAATATTGCTGTGGTGACACTGCAAACAGAATGCAATGCCGTTCCTGATTTTGAACACGCATGGGAAAAAGAGTCACTCCACTCGATAGCCAACATAACAAGGATTATTTTGATATATAATAATCCAGTTTTACAACGTCATGGAGGTACTCCACATGCTATCACCAGCGCGGTTGTTTAAACCTTTGACGGCGCACCAAAAAAGTCACTGTCAGAAACTCCCGATTCCACGTACAATAATGGAGACTAAATGCGCAACTAAATAATTTTTTCTGCCCAATTCAAAACATTTCATCAATTTCCAACAGAATGACACCCCAAATATACATATATTCCGAAATTGCCCACGGCCATCCGTGAGGCCGTTTCCAACCATAGTGCGGCGGCCGATACATCAAATCGGGCTCGGCGCGCCGCCTGGCACCGGCTGCCGCTCAGAGGTGCCGCCGGCAGCCGAGGACGCACCATAAATCGTGCGGCCGACACGGAGCGGCGACACCCGGCGCCGGAGCCGCCGGCGTGGGCGGCGGGCCGCCCGTCCGCCCGCCCGGCCGCGGCCGGCGCGCAGTGATGTCAGGACCGGTGATCTCAGGGTCGCCACGGCTGCCCAACGCCACACAGGAGCTCGCCAGGACATTGCGCGAGCCACTGAGAGGAAATTCCCACAGAATCACCGTCGGATGTGGCCAGTTTGGCAACGTGAACAGGCTGACATAGTCCAGGATTGGGTCCAGAACAGAGCACGACCGGACGGACAGCGCGTCATCCAGAGGCGCCAGCGAGGCGGATGCTAATCAGGAAATGCCAGAGACCGAGAGAAGCGTCGACGCCTCCGAGACAGAACGCCCACGACCAGGCGACTGCAGTTTGCAAAGTACATTGGCGTGTTGATTTTAAAAAGTGTTCCCGAGTCTGCAGTGACAGTGAAGCGTGCCACACGGCCGCAACCAATGCTAACAAAACCCGTGACCCCGATGTGTCCCTGCGGTTTGCAGTGGTGCTGCAGGGCAGGCCGAGCAGTGCGAGGGCGGCGCGACGGCCCGGCGCTCCGCACAGAGGTCCTCAAACCGAGCGGCACCGAGACACTCCATGGCCGTCCAGAGGGGGGGGGGGGGGCTCTCTGGCGCCATACTGGGCACTGGCCTTTGGACCTCGGTGGCCCGGGTGGCCCGTCCGCCCACTGTGCTCGGGCGCTGGGAACTGGGCCGCTCGACGCTTCCCTGGCCGCCGCGACTGCACGGACCGTGGAAACGGACATAGAGCCAGCCGGTGAAGGGGCGGAGGCATTTGCAATACTGCAGCAACGCTTTGCAAGGGTTTTCAAGGCTATGGGGCGTGTGCTGCTTATGGGTGGGTACTGCGAGGAGCCATATCTGAGCTCATTTGCTCCAATTCCTTTTACGGCCTTTCACACATAGAGGCGGAAGGATGCCTAGAATCGCTGAATTACTTTCAGTTACTAAGCCATGGCACTATTGAAATTCAAGGTTACAATCACCTTAGAAAGGTACCGATGACATGCCGAGGAATGACTTCGTTCAATCATCAAACAAAGAAAGAAATCAGACACGTATTCGATCTTAAAAACGGCGAAAGCTGATGCCACTTGAGCATTGCTTGACCTTCGAATCGGACCACATTTCGGGAACTGAGATGCTATCGGGTGGCCGTGTCCAGGAACTCTGGGCGGCACTCGCCGTTCCGCAGTACGTCCATGAGCCGGGGGCATCTCTGGCACGACTCACGTGAGCGCGGCTGTCTGCACGAGGCGCCCCGAGTATCGCCGCATTCCATCACCGAGCGCCGGGCCGTGTGCCGCATTCCGCACCCGTGGCCCGGACCGACACCGCTTAATTGTCAACCCGTCTGGTGGTCACAGAGATGGACGAGCCCGTGGCCAACCGGCCACTCAGTCCAGCGAGCGGCTCTGGATGGTTCTATCTGGTCGTCCGGCGCATGTGACCAGTGGTGGACTTTGGACCGCCGATAAATACCGAATTCAGTTACGGATGTTTCTGGTCGGCGGCGGCAGAGATAAAACGAATTCGTACACAGTGAACAGAAATTATATACCTACTGCGTGTTGAAAGATGACCATTGAAAGCTAAAACT